TTAGCAGAATGGATGAGGTTCGATATCACCAATTAAAACACTTTTTTTGAGAGTCTTCCAAAACCGGTGAGAATTAGAAAGGAGTGGAATTCATTTGAAAGTTTATTAGATACACGGGGAGATGGGAGACACGGAGTTGCCAAAATATATAGAATCTTAACGGCACTAGACACTGACACAAAATTAACTTATGTAGAGAAATGGGGAAAAGATATGGGCAGGGAGATAGATGAGGAACAGCAGAGGAAAATGTTTAGATTAATTCACGAAAATATTAGTATGAGAGAAGTAGAATTAAATTATAAGTGTTTAGTTAGATGGCACATTACACCGATTGTGGAGCACAAGATGAACGGGGAGAACTCTCCACTATGTTGGAGAGGTTGTGGAGAAGTGGGTACACTATATCACATATGGTGGGAATGTTCAAAGATACAGGTGTTCTGGGGGAAAATTGTCCATTTAATGAGGAAAATGATTAAGATCGATATTAGATTGGATCCAGAGTTATGTCTTCTTTATATCTCTGAGCTTACAGTGAGATCATATAAAGACTCAGGGATTTGGTACTTTCTGAGTGCAGCCAAAAGCTTGATCCCTAGGTTTTGGAAAAAAAGTGAGGTACCGACGGAAGAAGATTGGTTGATTAGAATGAATCAGTTATGTGAGACGGAAAGACTTTATTACACACACATAGACGGGATGGAGAAGCACTATAAAAAGTGGGGAAAATGGGAAGAATTTAGACAGAAAGTGAAATATACTTGATTTATACCTCTTGAAACGAATAATGTATTTTAGAAATGAGTTTTAGAAAGAAAAGGATAGTGTTATTTTTTTTTTTCCTTTCTTTCTCTCTTGGATTAGAAAAGAAAAGGCAGAGTGGGTTGGAGGGGGGAGGGGGGATACGAGGATGGGTGTGAGAGGTGGGGGGGTTCAGGAGGGAATTAGGGTTGTGGGAATTAAATAAATTATGAGGAATATAATGATCTTTTAATGAAGAAAATGTTTGTTAATTATATCTGATTGAAAACCAATAAATATTTATAAAAAAAAAATGAAAACTGGAGGGTGGTTTTAGGGGAGCAAGGGGACAGATATTAGATTGAGGGGATTGCGGAAATTCCCGGAAGAAAGAGGATGTCTTGTGTGTGGGTGAAGTAATGGAGGACCAGGGTTCGGGGAGATATCCCCAGAGGTTAGGAGGAGAAGAAGGGTGAGGAAGGTGGCATGTGAGCGGGGTGTATACGGGCGCGCATGCCTTCCAGTCCAGTCCTGGTGTTAGGGTCAGCAGGAGAATGAAGTATCAGCAGGAGGTGATGAGAGCAGTAGTAAGGAGATGAGAGCAGTGAGGGTGAGATGTACAAGTTTTTGGGTAGAGCAGAGGGACGGAGAAGTGAGGTTTTGGGAACACAAGAAAGGAATATGAAAAGGAGAAGTAGAAGAGGCATTTAAAGGGTGTAGGGAGTGGGGATCAAGTATGTAGAGATGGTTTCCAGGGGCGTTTGATTGCAGATTGTCTAGCATGCAGTAGAGTTTCTTGCTGTAGTATCTTCCTGCAGCTAGAGTTCTTCTCCTTTGGGTCAAGATGGGCTGGGGTTCGGCGTGAGTGGTTAGATCTGGAGCATTGTGTGGCTATTTCTTCAGGGAGGACGTTCGTACTTTTGTGGAGATTTGCTTGGAGTTTAGTGGCTAGCTTGGTGTGAGGGTTACTAGGCAGGGTTCAAGGTCCAGGTGGAAGTTCCAGATTGTGAAATGAGGGTTGGCTTGAGGAGGAGAGGGATAGGTGACAGTTTTAGAATTTATGTCCTTGAAACCGATGGAGAGAAGCCGATGAGAGGGGAGCATGGGAACCATATACCAGCCTGGCCTCTGGTATGGGGTTAGGCAAGTTGACTCAGATGAGGCCTTGTTGGTAGAATTCCAGGCTGTGTCACTGAGGTCCAGGCTGTGTCACTGTAGGCCGCAGTAGGCCTCAGTAGGTCGAGTTCGTCAGCCGTGGGTTGAGGGGGACAGACCCACCCCGATCCCCCCCTCCTGGTATGGACCGTACAGTGGGGCCTCGGGGAGAGCTTTGAGTGGCACGCCGCTGCTTGGGTCGGTGGAGGTTTAGAGCCTGGGTGCATGAGCCTCAGGCTACGCGTCCGCATATGACATATGACTACAGACATACAGGTACAACTTATGTAGGAAGATTTGTTTCATTTCTGTGTAGCATTTGATGCTAGTCACTTTACTGGGTAAATGTAAGGGTTTTCAACCACTTTAAAGTTTCTGAAATTTGTGAGAAAGTCCTGCTCTGCTGCATTTATCTTTGTATTCAACAGTTGGCACGTTGCTGTTTTCCTTGACTCATCTTATGTACTGTATTAGCTACAGTAGCTTTGCACTTCAGGGTCGGCTGTACAGATACCTGAATAGGACAGTGTTAATAAACAGATCAATATGTGGCCTTGGTTGACCTAGAAATAAATGGGTGGCCATTACATTTCTTATGCAGACAGTCAGTGAGTAGTTATTTTTTCAGAGTGATTTCTTCTCTAAGTGTAATGGAGGAATGCTTATTGGCTACATGACAAAATCACATCAAATGAGCAGTTGCATTATTTTATCCAGCTAATAATCCAGCTGAGAGGCAACATGTAGATTTCTTCTCCTTAAATTATCTGATGTGCTCTTCATTATATGTGTAATTCATATACTGGAAAAGTGTAGGATATTATGAGTCAGGATATTTGTAGGTTTAAAGTGTTACTAAACCCACAACAGCAAAATCAGTCTGTATATGCAGTAAAGCATGCTTGTTATACTCACTGTGGAAACTAAGGGGTTAATCCTCCACATTGTGTAAAAAGGCTGTTTGATCCTGTCTTCTCTGATCCCTCCCTTCTTCTACTGTCCCCAATCCCACTGCTGATAGTACAGAGCTCTAAGAGTCACTCTGAACATGTCAGTTTTCTGTGTATTGCTACAGGTTTTTTTTTTTGGGAGGGTGCATGTGATCAGCAGAGGGCCAATCAGGGGCATATTTACCATGAGGCAAACAAGGCACCGCCCCCCAGAAGAAGGGACACACGTGACAGGTGACAGAGGATGGGGACCAGGTGAGGCACTGCCTGAGCTCTGCAATGTGATCCAAGAGGCCGGGGGCTGCTGGAGGGTGTATGTAGAGGCCAAGTCTCATTCCCACACAAGGAAGACACAGGACTTTCCTGACCATGTCCCCGAGGATGGCCGGCTGCTCGGCTGCTTTTATTCCGGAGGTGAGTGCTGCAGGAACATCTCTCTCTCCTTTCTCCTCTCTCTCCTTTTTTTAGATTGTGTGTGTGTATGTGTGGGGGGGGGGGGGGGGCGATTTTAGTGTTGCCATTACTGTTGCCAGCACAAAAACAAAGTACACCACTGGGGCCGATCTTTCCAGATAGAAGGTCAGGGGTTATGCAGCCTCATAGGACAGTCAGAGGACACTGATAGAAGTCACAAGACTGCTCTAACTGCTGATGAGAAAAGGTATTTAGCAGTTTATATTTACTAGAATAATAGCATTTCCATGTTCTGTGTACTGTGGGAGACCAGATATAGTGAATGCAGGGTCCAGGGTTTAGTAACACTTTAATTAATTGTAATTAAAGCTTAGCTCCCGAAACTCATCCACTTTGTGAATAGTGTCCAATTACTAAAGATTAAGTCCAATGAGGTGCATGCCACCTTGTGGACCTATCTCTTTAATTTTCAATTTTTATTCTTACTGAGCACTGGAAATATAGCTATTAGTATACTTCCTGCACTCAAACATTGGACCTGCTACTGTAGCTTCAGATTCACATGCAACCACTGCGCCTGCCCCTCCCCTCCTTTTACTGTATCACAGAGCACTTTGTATTGTGAAATTACAAAGAATTACTTGAATGAACAACAGAGGGAAGGGACAGGCACAGCAGCCGCTGTATGCAAGAGCAGTGTCTCTCCTCTCATAGCCCTGGGGGTGTAGTGATAGCTGTACACCCAGAGCTCCAAAAAACTTTCAGATGTAAATAACAGAGATAAGTCCATAGGTGGTGTACACCTTGTTGGACTTAACTCATAGTATGCCAGCACATTTTACAAAGTGGCTGAATTCCTGGAATTTAGCTTTAAATGTGTAAGTTTTAGTGAAAACTAATCCTTTCAGATGACACTTTACAATAATTTTTGACAGGAGAAACATGCAGAAATAGTCATTATACGACCTATCCAAAACTCTTAATCTTCTGTCAAATGGTTAAAACTGTACAGGGTTACTTATCAAAGATACAAGTTGGAAAATGCATTTTGCCTTGCTGTGCAGAAAATAAGGGGGATCCAAAACCAGCAGCTCTCAAGAGGGTAGCGCTACGTGTGCATAACAGTATAAAGCACTGCATTTTTTCACAGTCCTTTTAACTCAACTCTCTGTCTGGCATTAGAATATATGTTAATTTTGTAGTCAGCAGAGACAAAGACAGAGACGGAGACAGACCATGCTGGACTGTCTCTGATACATATTTCTGCTCATAAAGAAGACACACATTTTAGTATATGCAAAGCAGGGGTGGACTGACCATTTGGAAACTCGGGCACTGCCCGATTGCCCGGGGTCAGTAGGGGGCCCCATGAGATGCCCCTGGTACCTTTTTCATAGGCTTTTTTGTGTATGGGCAAGGACACAGGGGCCCCATGATCCCTATTGCCCGGGGGCCCCATGAGTTGTCAGTCCGCCCCTGATGCAAAGCGATTTACGAATCAGAGAATCTAACGGACTGGGCCAATCAAATTCTCAGTTTTCTTTTTCCAGGATTTATTAAATGCATGATTCTCAGTTGATAGCAGAATCAGAGAATCATGATTTACCAGAAATTATCTGCAGATTGTTTATTTTATATACAGGACCTTTAGTCTTGCAAGAATACAGTCCTTTGTGGAAGGTTCTTTATAAAGTAAACCTTGCATAAATTGTGTGTGTAGACAATTAATGAACTTACGGTAAAGACTTTCTCTGGTTGTCCACGGGCCCGCATATTTGTGTCATGAATCTGTTTCAGGATCATCCAAGCTTCATCATGTTTTCCAATCTATCAACCCAATAAAAACAGAACCAAAACATGTCAGCTTTAATGACTTTACAAGAAATCACTGGTAATTTTGACCTCAAATTTCAATTTAGTTTTAGTCAGTCTTTTGACTAAAACACCATTTTTGTTTTAGTCGTATTTTAGTCTTTTGATTTGTTTTAGTTGTATTTTGAGCGAGTAAAATCTCCAGTACATTTTAGTCAACTAAAATCTCCAGTACTCTTTTGGCAAGCTGCATTGGCTGACAGATGCAAGTTCTCTCTGTCTTCCTGCTGCCTTGGTGTACTGGAACAATCCCTGAAAATCACAGAAGAGGAAATCCTCTGTTGGATTCATGTCTGTCTGGATGTGACAAGGGTTCCCCTACCAGCAAGGTAGCAGTGCTTAGCACTGTGTAAAACAAACTGTCCAGTTCTCTTCCCTATGCACTTCCTCACTCCCATTTACTTCCCCATCCCACTTGCAGCCTAGCATTACAGTCAAAAGAGTTTACGGTGTTTTTTTTTTCTTTTAATATTAAAGTTGCACTTCTATTTGTCAAAAAGCATTATTTTTGTTTGTTTATGAAACTTGGTTTTATTTCTAAAGATGTTATACAGTATATCACAACAGCTAAATCTGTGTCTGTAGTGTCTGTTGTCCTTAATACCACAAATAATAACATTATTAGATTTTACTGAAGGGGTATATAATGAGTTTTGGAAATTCTAAGAATTGATTAAATAATGCATTACAATTTAAAGCAGATATGCGAGAAAAAAAACATTTTAATACAATATATAATCATTTAGGAAATTCTAGAACAATGCTTAATTAATGCATTATGATTTAAAGCAGAAATCTGGGATAAAAATATTTTTTGCCCGTGCAGTGGGGCTGTGCCGGCACTGCACAGGTTTAATGCTCGTTTTATTCTAGGGGATAAAACATTGAAAATATACTCACCTGACTTGCCAATTGTCCCTGCACAAAACTAGATCTTTTGGCTCCTGCCCCCCTGCAGGCCAGCAGTCTTGTAAATGGACTGTTTCTGATGTCAGCATGCTCAATGCTCACTCCACAGGCAGGAACAGTCCACCGCTGGACTGTGGGGGAGAGCTATTTTCCGCAGGATCGGCACGTCAGGTGAGTATGAGCTTAGTCCTCACCCCTAGAAAAAACGAGCAGCTGAGCCATGCGGCGGTGACACAGCCCCACTGCATGGTAAAATAAAAATTTAACTGGAGATCTGCTTTAACTAAACCCATTAGATTTTAGTCAACTAAATTGTACTGGAGAATTTATTCAACTAACTGAAAATTGGAATAAATTTTTGTCATAGTTTTCGTGACTAACTATAAAATTGGAATACATTTCTGTCATAGTTTTCGCCAATTGATCTTCTTTTTCATTATTTTTGTTTAGTTTTCATCACTGAAAACATGCAGCTGCCGAAATCTATGACAGAAATATTTTTTCAATGAAATTAGACACAACATGCAGTATCCATCCTCACCTCTAAAAGGAAGCGCGGACTTTCAGGCATAAAGGTGAGTGCAACTACAGCAGATACACAAGGCAGGGCACACACAATGACAAACACCCTCCAGCTGTGGAACTGATAGGCCGATCCCATGCTGAAACTCCATCCTAGTGAAAAAACAAAACTTTATTATATAAATTATATATTACCAACATTTTAATACAGACATAGAGAGCTTGAAACAGTGCCATCAGTCCACACAGGTTAAAAAAAAGTCCATCTAATTATAACAATAGAAAATACTTACTGGTAAATAAATACATAGAAAACCTGCAATAAATTGAAAACCTCCATATACAAAACCCTGGATGATCCAGGGAAATTCCAAAAACACCCCAATAAAGCATGGTGCAATTTGCTTCAGCAGGGGGTAAACATTCCTTCTTGAAGGCAATCAGATATTCACTGGTCTATTCTACATATTCATAGCTCATAGGCTCCATTCACACCTTTATGTTCTGAGAACATGTGCATGTAGCAGCTACGTGTTTTATCATGTGGCAATATGCACATTATAAAATTGCCAAAAAAAGATACAGGAGCTACTTTGGTGTGCTTCAAGTGAATGGGCTGCCCTTTGCTGTTGCATGAGAAACATGCAAAAAAAGAGTGAAGAGAATGCTACACAAGGCGTCACCCAGGTGTTAATGGGGCCCTACTGGGCAGAAGCCAGTATGTGGAGGTTAAATCTCCTTACCTCTTTGCCCCCTTGACTTTAAAGTGAATAACTCTACACCACTATATGGATAACCTAAGTACTGTATTTATACATGGTGATCTTATCCCCCCTAACTGCCTCTTCTCAAGAGAGAATAAATTCAGTTAAGCCAATATTTCCTCATAGTTGAGGTCCTCCATGTCTCTTATCAATTTGGGTGCCCTTCTCTGCACTTTCTCCAGTTCCCCAATAGTCCGCTCAACCACATTCATATTTAGTACATGTCTTGGCGCTTATTTGTAAAAATAATCAGTTTTGGCACTTATTTGTAAAAACAAGAAACCTCTCTTAATAGTAGAAGACCCCAGGGCAGTCCTGGGAACACAGTTGAAAATTATCTCTTATTTAGCTTAGAAATGCCTTTTAATACCACAGAAAGAGTTGACTCTATTGCCAGGGCACATAAAGAATTCTTGAGTTGGCCTTCTGTCTCTGCAACCCCCTTCAGAATAAACAATTTAAGAATGATCATGATGATATATTTTTTTTATAGCTATGGGAATTTTGCTAAATAAGGATGCCTTACAAAGACTGCAAAGTGAAGCTAGCAATTCAAGCATCATTTGCAAGCCACGTAAAGATTAACTGTACAGCAATAAGGAGCAATGCTAAATGTTGGAGGAGAACATTGTCAAGCCAAAATATATATTTTTTTTAACAGTTGCATTTATTGAAATCGTACAAAAGTATAATGAAAACAATCAAGCATTTAGTATACAGTAAATAAGCAGCATACATCAGTGTTCCAAAGCTGAGAATCCTACAGTATCGACCTGTTATCCTGAGCAGACACAGTAATCACATACATATTATAGTCCAGATGTAAACAACCCACAAGGGAAAGGAGTTGAAAGGAAAAACGAAGAGTGTGAGAAGAAGAAGGAGGGAAGAGGAGCAGGTAGGGTAAGATAGGGAAGAGAGGGATAAAGAAAAGGGGGAAAGAAAGAAGGAAAAGGAGAAAGGTAGATAACACAATTAGTAGCAGATCAGTTAGTTATTGCAAACTTGGTACAATCAATGCTCTAAACTGGACAGTTGCAACTCATATACGTAAGTTTATACAAAGAAAGCGCACTATTGATTGCTGCCTTCCAACCCGAGATTGTGGGCGGGGTGGACTGCTTCCATCTCAACAAAATTTCTCTTCTAGCGTAGTATAGAGAAAAAAAGACAAACAGTTTGCTATGCTTAGATGCCTTTCTGAGGTCAGTAAGGCCTAACAACATTATCAGTGGATCCATGGGAATGGATAGGTTACCAACAGCGTTAATGGTATCTAATACCACGGTCCAAAATGGACATAGCTTCATACTGTCCCAGAACATATGGTTAAAAGTGCCCGCTGCCATATCACAATGGGGACATGTTGCCGATCTACCAGGATATATCATAGCCAGTTGCCGCGGGGTGTAATATACTCTATGGATACATTTTAGTTGTATAAAGCGATCCCTGGCTGAGTTCATAGTAGGGAGGCATTGCAGAAGACATGACCATCCAAGGGATGGATGGTCTGCGTGCCATTTACTGTACAGCGACTGCATTCTAGGGTTGGGTTGGTTAGGGGTAAAAGCAGGGAGTAGAGAGAGGATAAGGGTTTAGGCAAGTCTTCCTCTATCAACAAGCTTTCCAAAGGGTCAGTCTGTATGACAGGGGAAGAAGGGAACTGGGCGGCAACAGCATGTCACAGCTGTAGAATCCAGAAAAACATCTGGTTAGGTAAACCATGATTGCGTTTGAGTTCATTGAAGGAAAGCACGACACCATGAGGCATAATATGTCTCAACGTTTTTAAATCGCATCTAGCCCACACTACAGGATCCGGTAACGTGTGCAGATGGGGGAGTGTAGGCATTATTTACACTATACTGGACCCTAGCCTGTCTCCATACCTTCAGGGTCGTCAGCATGGGAGTAGTAATGGCCGGGTTGGACTTCGGACCCCTATGAACCAGGTCACCAATACAACTGCCTCCAGGATCACCTCTGCATTATCCCTAGGCTGGGAGAACCACCAGCGCACCATGACCAAAACAGCCGCCCAAAAATATAGAAGTAACCTAGGCAGTGCCAGGCTGCCACGATGAATCGGTAAGTGCAAAGTAGATCAGGAAAGTCTAGGGGCCCTCCCAGCACACAGAAACACAGAGACAATGCCATCCACACGATGTAAGAAGGACTGTGGGACTGGTACAGGCGTGTGTCAAAAAAAGTAGATAAATTTAGGTAGACAAATCATTTTAAAAAGATTTACTTATGGTACTGATAGAAAGGGAAGACCAAGTGTTACATTTAGTCTGCAGTTATTGTAGAAGAGGATGAAAATTATCTGAAAGATATGCAGTCAGGTCATGCTGAACCATCACGACCAAGTATTTAAATTTAGAGACTGATTTAATAGGGGCAAAAGAAATGATAGAAAAAGGCCCCGGTGCAATAGGAAATAGTATTGACTTCTCCCAATTTATGCGTACTCCAGAGTAATGACCGAAGCAATCGATAATATCAAGCGCCACTTTGAGAGATGAATCACAGTCCTTCAGATATAAAAGGGTGTCGTCCGCATACAGGGAAACCCTATCCTTCCAGTCACCCACAGGAAGCCCCCTCAAGGTCTGATAAGAGCGGATCAGGCAAGCCAAACGCTCAAAACAGGCCCGGCGCAATTAGGCAACCTTGCTGAGTGCCCTTGTGGAGAGCAAAGGGGGGAGAGAGGATATTATTTGTACAGACTCTCACATACAGGGTACTATATAGGCACCTGACCCATGAAATAAAATTGGGGCCAAATCTGAAGCATCTCAGAGTCTCCCACAGATATTCCCACTCAACCAAATCGAAGGCCTTTTTCAGCGCCCAGTGACAGCACCACACCAGGGTCGTCGCAGTCCCGAGCCATAGAGATATGGGTGAATAGTCTCCGTACAGGGGCGGACTGACCATTTGGAAACTCGGGCACTGCCCGAGGGCCCGGGGTCAGTAGGGGGCCCCATGAGATGCCCCTGGCACCTTTTTCCAAGGCTTTTTTGAGTTTGGGCAGGGACACAGGGGCCCCATGATCCCCTATTGCCCAGGGGCCCTATGAGTTGTCAGTCCGCCCCTGTCTCCGTATATTAATGTCAGTGCCTTTACCTGGCATAAAGCCCGTTTGATTATTGTGTACCAATATAGCATAGCCTTCCCACAAGCACTTTAGCGTTAGATTTCACATCAGTGTTCAACAGGGAAATCTGACGGTAAGAGGAGCAGTGACGGATCCTTCCTAGGCTTTAATATCACTACGACCAGTGCTTGGAGCATAGAAGAGGGCAAGGTTCCCGTCTCCAGTGAAGCATTAAAAAGGGTTTGGAAGTGGTGGGGCCAGTTGTTCAATATATGTTTTATAAAATGCAATTGGAAATCAATCCGGACCCAGCACCTTGCCAGATTGGAGAGCGCCAATCGCCTGCTGGATCTCCTCCAAAGAGACCGGAGCCTACAATTTACCCCTCTGGTCCAGAGAAAGAGATGGTAATTCCACACAATCCAAATATCAGGCAGGTCCTGTGGTGTATAGGCAGCTTTAGAGGAATATAAATTTGCATAGTAGTCAGAAAAACGTAGGTTAATTAAGACCGGATCAAGGATCCTAGAGCCATCCTCAGCCTATATAAAGGCAACATTAGTCATGGCAGTTTGTTCCCTAGTCAGCCAAGCCAACAGACACCTAGCTTTATCCCCCTGTTCAAAACTACGCTGTTTCTGATGGAGCAATGCCTTCCTGGAGGCCTCTGTGCATTAAAAGTAGGGCCTCCCTAACAGCGAATTGCAAGTTGTTATGAGTGACTAGATCAGGGTTAGACACATAACTAGATTCAGATTCCTGCACCCGCCGGTCCACCATTTCTACTTCTGACCTTCGCCTGACCTGTAGCCCCCCAATCAGGGTACGGTACTGTCCCCTAAGGGTAGCCTTACAAGCCTCCCATGTAATAGAAGGACAGTGGTATCCGCATTATAGGCCCAGTACTCCTCCAATGCCTTGCCCATAGGGAGTTCCACCTCCGGGTCAGTTATCCAATAGTGGGATAGTCTCCAAATTTTTTATCCAGGGGCATTAGAAATACTCAAGCGGAGGAGAAGTGGGGCATGGTCAGATATTCCCCTAGGAAGGATTGAAATCTCCCGGACCTTCGTTAAGAGTGGAGGTGTAACATAGCAAAGATCAATTCTGGACATTGTTTTATGTGATGCCAAGTGGCAGGTATAGGCCCTAGTGTCAGGATTTTTCCAGTGCCACACATCCGTGAACTGGTAAAGCCCCGCCCATATGGCCAAATCTGACTCCCCACTGGCTTCAGGATTAAGTTTGTCAACACTAGGGTCAGGAGTGAGG